TAGAAATATCAGAGTGGAAATAAATGACAGAGAAACAAATAAACAAAAATAATATAAAAGATCAATGAAACCAAGAGTTGGTTCTTTGAAAATATATACAAGATTGATGAACTTTTGGCCAGACTCATCAAGAAACAAAAAGAAGAGACCCACATGAATAAAATAAATGAAAGAGGTGAAGTAACAATTTACATCACAGAAAAACAAAGGATTGTAAGAAAATACTATGAACACCTTTATACCAACAAGCCGGACAATGGGGATGAAAAATTCCTAGAAAAATACCATCTTCCAAAACTCAATCAGGAAGAATCAGAAAACCCGTATAACCCAATAACAACTGAGGAAACAGAATCCGTAATAAAAAAAAAAACCTCAGTAAACAAAAGTCCTGGATTCCAGATGACTTCACATGGGAGTTTTACCAAACATTCAAAGAAGAACTAACACCTATCCTTCTCAAACTATTGCAAAAAATCCAAGAGGGAGGGAGACTTTCAAACTCTTTTTATGAAGCCAGCATTATCCTAATTCCAAAACCAGATAAAGACCCTACAAATAAAGATAATAATTATAGGCCAATACCCTAGATGACCATAGATGCTAAAATCCTCAACAAAACATTAGCAAAGTGGATCAAGCGAAAAATTAAAAAGATCATACACATGTCCTGGCCAGTGTGGTTCAGTTAGTTGAGCGTTGACCCATGCACCAAAGGGTCTCAGGTTCGATTCCTGGTCGGGGCACATGCCCTGGTTTTGGGGTCCATCCACAGTAGAGGGTATGCAGGAGGCAGCCAATTAATTTTTTCTCTCATACTGATGTTTCTCTCTCTCTCCATCTCTCTTTCACTCTTACTAAAAGATCCATTAAAAACATAAAAGAAAATGAATAAATAAAAAGATCATATACCATGATCAAGTGGGACTTATACTGGGGATGCTGCTACAATATCCAAAAATCAATAAATGTGATACATCACATAAATAAAAGATAAAAATATGATCAAATCAGTAGATGCATACAAAGCCCTGAATAAAATCCAGCACCCATTTATGATAAAAACTCTTAGTACGGTGGGACTAGAGGGATTATACCTCAACATAACAAAGGCCATATATGAAAAACCTACAGCCAATATCATACTCAATGGGCAAAAAATAAATAAAAGCATTTCCATTAAGATCAGGAATAAGACAGATATATCCACTCTCACCACTCTTATTCAACATAGTGCTGGAAGTCCTAGCCATAGCAATCAGACAAGAAGAAGAAAGAAAAGGCATCCACATTGGAAAGGAGGAAGGAAAACTGTCATTATTCACAGATGACATAATATTGTACATAGAAAAACTAAAGACTCCACCAAAAAACTACTGGATCTAATAAATGAACTCATCACAGTAGCAGAATACAAAATTAATATCTTGTCCTTTGTCCTATGTAATAATCCCTAAACAATCCTACATAGATGGCAATCTTTCCTCGGTAATGGCATTTCAGAAATCTCCCTTTTTGACTATGTATGATCAAGCCTAGCAATCCTAACTTCTCCTAAAAGATTCCCTTTTGGTCATTATAATTTCTTTTACCACAGTTGTGCCTATTGGTCTTTGATTAGTTCTCCAAAGAGAGCAATAATTACTAGAAGCTTTTTTGTTTAAATTTCAGAGAGGGAGGGAGAGATAGAAATATCAATAATGAGAGAGAATCATCGATCGGCTGCCTCCTGCAACACCCCCCACCAGAGACTGAGCCCGCAACCCTGGCATGTACCATGACTGGAATAGAACTGTAATCTCCTGGTTCATAGGCTTACGCTCAACCACTGAGCAATACGGACTGGGCACTAGAACATTTGATAGCATTTGACCACCCTAACTTTTATACTCATGGCATTTCCTTGGGATTCCATTTATTTTTGTTCTTCCTCATGAACCAGATGAAGACCATCATGTACTTATCACCACTATGAAACCCAATGCTGATTTCTAATCATGAAACTCAGGTTTTAGTCCCAGCTATTTAATGTGACCTTAAGTCATTTCACTTCTGGAGGCACCAGTGAGCTCATCTATAATATGTGAGAACTGGACTAGATAAATTTAAAAACATCAACATTTATAATTCTATAAAATGCTAAGGTTTCTAGTATTACTTATAGAATGAGAGACTTGAAATATACATTTTACTTAAGCTTTTACATAAACAATCTAATATATAATCATTTTGAAGATAAGCAGTTCTTACTTAGGTAAAGCAAACTAGATCAAGAAGACTAAAGATAGTTTATCTTGAGAAATTGATTTTAAAAAATAATTCACAAAAAAGTAATTCATAAGGATGATTAATGATTAATCAGCAAAAAGATTATGACTCACTTTACTGTGATACTCGCTTTGCTCAGTGGTCTGGAATTGAACCCTCAGTATCTCTGAGGTATGTCTGCAAAATTCTCCAAAAAGTTTCCCATTTATACATGAAAATAAATAAACATTTCACTTACAGGGAAATATTCATATTTTCCTTTGGTGTGAAGAAAATGGCCATAGTAGTTCCATCTCTGGGAGGGTCATTAAATTTGTGGCTCTTAGACTGAGTTGGCCTAAAGTGTTCTCTTTTTGAAATGCCATTATTATTGAATTTACAGGCTACATTCAGTTGGTTGCACATTCTGTCTGTCTTGGATAATTCATTGACAGTACTAGATTGGCATGGGCCTCCTTTCCTTTCAAAGAACAGGGTGGCAGGTCGATCCTTCAGGGGAAAGTGAGCAGAGGGACTGTCTTTTAGGGCAAGAGCTGCATCTTTTACAGTTACTGATGGATGCCCTAGTACATCAGATTCTTTCTTATTTGGGGTATTCGGAATGAGGAGAGAGGATGGCCTCTCTACTCTTTGTTTTGATTGACAGAGAGATGATACTGGAAAAGACTCCCCAGTTCTTCGTTTTTCAATTGTCTTGAAGGTTTTACGCTCCCTCTCTAAAATATCTGTTTGCTGTCTAATCTGTTCCATCATCTCTTTTTCATTCTGCTGCTGCAACTGTTTTTGCCTTTCTTCCTTCTCAGTGTTCAGCTTTTCCAACTTCTTAAGCACAGTATTAGAAGAATCTGTACTCAAAGCAACAACTTGATTTTCTCCTGAGTAGCGATACTTTCTAGTTTTCCTGTTAATATCCAAAGTAAGAGCTGGAATTGTTTCTTCACTTTCCATTAGTTTGTTTCTCTGGATACTTGTGTCTAGTTGGGAACTTGTTTTCAGTGGGTCTTGTTGAGGAATATAAAAAAATGTAGGCAAACTACTGGAAACAAAGGAGTCTCTCAGTTGTGGCTTACAGGTAATAGATTCAGAACTGTAAACCAATTTTTCCTTCATAGCCCCATTCTTCAAATGCATTGAGTCAGAGGATGCTCCCTTTTGACTCAATTTATAGTTAGTCTCACTTGAGGTACTTTGGGCATTGGCCTGTGAATCAAATTTTTGACTGCTAGATATCTTAGGTGATAGAAACTGCAAGTCTCCTTCATCTAACATTACAGACTCTAGTTTGCTCTTTTGGCTTTCCTCGAAGCTCAGAAGTTCCAAGCTTTCTTGAGAGCTTTCACTATCAGGTGTACCCTGTAAAGACTGAAGGCCCTCAGGCATCAGTTCTGTAGACCATCGGCGTTCTTCTGAAGGAGACACACCACCAAGAGAACGAACTTTTAGCAATTCTAAGCTAAATATAGCTTGTTCTAGTTCTCTCATTCTTCGACTTTCTCTTTTGGCCCGACCTACTTTTTTCTGGTGGAGATCCTCCAAGGACTTGGGTCTCTCTCTTATAATCACATCTTCCTGCAAGTCCACACCACTCTGGCTTCTGGCTCTCTCCTGTCGTTTGTTTGGAGAATCCTTCAAGCAGTCCACTGAACTAATTCGATTACTCTCTATCACAGATTTACATTCCTCTATGGCTTTTACTCTGTTGTCAAAAGAACAATCCTCCCATTCTGAAGGGTCTGAACCCTGAATTTTCAGAGCTCCATGTGGCTCAATATTCATCAATCCAAGTTCTAGTTTTGCTTCTCTTAGCCTTTGTTCTTTTAAAGCTTTAAATCTATATGAAAATAGAAAAAAAAGTAGGTTATTACTGGAGAAAATACATTTACTGAGAATTTAAAGAAAAAGAAGAAAATTTTAATATACCTAAGTATTTTTCAAACTAACTTCAAAGCACATTTCATAATCCTATTTTGATGAGTGAGATTATATATCATTAAGTGCATTATTTGTAATTAGGCATTTTACTAAAAATAAAATAAAATAAAACCAGAAGTAAGCTCTCCTTTAACAATATCCTTATTTTAACATAAACCTTAAACATAAAATTAAAGTTTTTAAAGGTAAAAACAGTTGAATGCCAATTTTTAAAGATTCAACCTAATGTAAAAGTTAACTCAGCAGTTATAACCACAGACCATGTAGGTTTTCAGTCCACTTTAATTCAATAAACACTTATTTAGCTTCTACTATAGAAGACACAATGTAGATTAAAATTGATAGGAGTATCACAGTTTAGCGGAGAAGACAAATTGCACAAAACCAATTCTAACACAAGTTAGGCAAGTGTTAGAACAAAGGTATAAATAATGTACTTGAACAGAGAAAATTATTATAACAACAAAGATTACCTTTGTCTTGCTCTGAATCCTCTACATATTGATTGCAAAAGGATAATTTTGTTCCTCTGTTCTTGATACTTCTTATTTTCCCTGTAGCCTTTCCATCTTGCCTGTATACAAATAGCAGCCATGTGCCTCCACCTATAGCACTCCCTCCATCTCTGCTGGATGATGATGGTTGCAGTTCGGAGCTCCAAATACCGCTGCCTCTCTAAGTGAGCACGCCAGGAAGCTTGGAGAAGAGTAGCTGCACTAGCCATAACTAGAGCATCCTTTTGCACAGCTGCGTCTCTGACTTGCTTTTGATTTAGGTAATTCCGCCAGAATCGCTGTGGAGAAGACAAAATAATAGAAACTGTTGTCATATCTTATACCACATTTTCACAGAAAAAGGAAAAAAGAATAAATTTCTTATGCCATAATTAGAGGGTAAGTGGCTAAATTGTGGGTGATTTAAAAAAGTTTTCTTTTCTAGATATGCTTAGTTAAAGCAAATATTTTAGATAATAAAACCTCAATAAAGTTAATTATAGAACTTAATTTAAAATTTTGATGCTTTCATGTACTACGAATTAATTTAAACAAGTTATAAATTATTCGCATACTACAATTTGCCTATATTAGTGAGTTCAAGGTCAATATGTACACATTTCAAAAATTAAGATAAAAAGATATTCTTGTACAAAGAGAAAAGGTCCTGTGGAAACAGCTATTGTACACATTGGTGAGAAAGAAAGTAAAACAGGTAAAAACAGGTAAATGTGAAACAAGGTACCTATAAACCAAAATGAGTACCTAACAACAATGTATTTATAACATGCAAATGTCACTCAGAAAACTATTAAATACTAGAGGTCCAGTGCACAAAATTTGTTCACTGGGGGCGGGGGGGGGGGGCCCCTCAGCCCAGCCTGCATCCTCTCCAATCTGGGACTCCTTAAAGGATGTCTGACTGCCCATTGTGAGAGAGACATCCCTCTCACAATCCAGGACTGCTGGC